TCGGTGTCGTTGAAAACATACTGGGTCGCCTTATGCTGAATCATCATAAGCAGGCACGATACGCGCGGTGTCAGGAGTGAAAAATGTGATCGCCTCTTTTCGAATTGAGATACGGGAAAAATGCAGACGTGTGACGTGCTTGTGATCCATTCAGTTGCAATTCCTCGGTCTCGCTTCGTTCAGACGACTTTCGTATAATCGCACAAACTACTGTAGCAGTGAGGTTTGTAGTATGCAAGCGTGTGTGTGTGCGCGCGCCTCGTGTATGAAGTAGTCGAGAGAAGGGCGAAGGAATCATTAATTGATTAATGAGATCGTGTTCGATCGTTTGTACGAAAATGCCATTTCATTTCTCACTCTCGCACTACTACGAAAGAGATCATAGAAACACAGTTCAATGTACAGAGTGTCCCAAAATTATAGTACTTCCGGGAAACTAGAGATTACTGAGGTCATTCGAAGCAACTTTTTCCTTTACAAAAATTTTCCCCGAAGCACCGTTAACGAATTATTAACGAAAAACACTGACCAATAAGAGGCGTGCTCGGATGGCGCGAGGCGGCCCAGCCAACGAGCCCACGCAGCTCAGTTCCGCTCATTGGCTCGGCCACCTGGTGCCAGGCGAGCTCGTCCCTCATTGGTCAATGCTTTTTGTTAATAACTCGTAAACGATGCCACGGAAAAAATGTTTGTAAAGGAAAAAGTTACTTCGAATCACCCCAGGAACTCCTCATTCCCTGGAAATACCATAATTTTGGGACACCCCGTATATCATCGTTTGATAGCAATCGTGGAGGACAATTATCTCAGGAATGGATGAAAAGATGAGTCGTCGCGCAACGAAATTGAGTCATTTCTTATCTTCGTGCTGGCTTCATTGCAACTGCTGATTGTGCGAGTATATCATCACAAGTTCGTTACAAATGCTAGTTTCATTGCTCCGACTTCCTCGGCATACTATTCTTAGAACAATTGTTTCGTAGAACCAGCGAGTTTCCGAGTATTAACTACCTGTGCGAACAAAATTGCGACCGAAGCAGAGATTCAGCATCTACGAGCAGGATGATGCAGGCTCGCGAGCGAACAGTATCTCCTCGATCGGAAACTGATCAACGCGAAAATGCGACGAATAAATTCTCGATCGAGAACGCATAAACGACGCGGACGCAGCACGCAACGGGGAATCCAGCAGACGCGACAGAATTCCTCGCAGATGGTTTGTCCCAGAGTCAGAAGTCTCGGTCAGAAGTCCGTGGATTTATTTTTCTCCTCGCCTCGCGCGGCGATAGACACATAATAACCGTCGTTGTCTCTCGATATCCTTGCTTCTCCACCATTTCGCATCGAAAGCTTTTCCTCGGGCACGGCCAATATGTCACCGGTGGGTGGTTGTACATAAAATATACGAGAGCGCTGGTTTACGAGCCGATCAGATGACGCGCGTATTATTACGGTCCGTCCCCATCGTTCGAGAGAAAATTCTGACGATAAAATTCTGTTTCTCCGAAGGTCCTCCAGTTCCTTAATTCTCCGGACATATTCCGGAAGTGCTCGGGGAAACTTCCGCGGGCTTCATTTTTCTCCTTTCCAATCTTCTAGGAATTTAATAAGACTGGTTTCTACTAATAAATATCGCAGCAGATTTTGAATGCCCAAGGAACTTAAAGTATTCAGCTCGGATCAATGCAGAGGCAAGAACTCGTTAACGTAGAATCATCCTTCGTCCTTTTAAAAATTTTCCATGACAAAAAAGGTCGTCATACCGATTGAAATTGTGTTCCAGGTGCTACGAAGAAATATTTCGTCGTACCTGGTTAACAGGTTAAGCCATAAGACGGTGCTCTGCTTGCGAAAGATTCGAGAAAATTGTTCGACTGTGAAACACAACAGATTCAGCATTCCTGTTTCCCTTTCCCAAATGAAATCGCTTGAATTCGGTGGAACTTGTTCGAGCACCGATTGGCAGCGAACGCGTTAATTCCCGTAGAAAATTTCAGGAGTCTTCCACGGGAGAACTGTTTCTAGAGCTTCTTTGTTCTCCTAGCGTCCTCGTGAACATTCAGTTGCCGGCGCCGCGAAAGTTTCTGGGCGTCTCGTGTCTCCTAAAATTTTAATCTCCTTCTGGACGGAGACACGGAGAACTTCTGGTTAAAATTTCAAGCGCGGGAGACAAGGCAGCGGACGGGTCGCCGAAACAAATCTGAGAACGGGTCACGTTCATCCCGAGAGGCGTGAACTTCCAGAGCAGTCCATCTCGCGCGTATTATCAGCCGGAAGGAGCACACGAGTCTGTATCCATGATTCTGGGACCGTAACAGTGCTTTTAGGTTGATCACTATTTACAGCTACGATCCGCATCACGTTGATTATTCGCGCGCCGACCCGTCACTGTCGTACCACACGCGACGTGATAACCCGACCATCGTACTCTCGAGGACGTCTTCCTACGTTTTATCAACGCCGGCTTGTTGATCAACTCCACGGATCTTTTGTTTAGACATACACGTTAAAATAATATCAAATTTCTTCCTATAAGCCTCGCATGATCCTTCGAGATATAGTCGCGAAAAAGATTTCAGGACGAATTCGATTAATAAGTTGCATTTTCTTTGTAAACATCGGTTATAGCTCGGTTAGAGCTTTCTAGATACCGGTTAAAAGCTCCGACAAGGTTTTTCTGCCTCTCTGTAGAAACGGGACTTCAAGCCAAAACATTCGTTGATAAACACTTTTACTGTCCTTTCAGTCGGCTGACAGCTCGCGTGCTTCGTAGCAGCGTGTAGCCCGGCTTTATCGAGCTGCATGATCATTTTCGCTTTCGTGTCACTGACGTTTTTTCAATTCAATGTGTTTTTAATGAATTGCATCCCTCTCGTTCGTTCGTGCAGAAAGAAATACTTTTGGATCTGCGAACGATCTACGGTAGATAACGGCTGATAAGCTTGCAGACGGTAATTAAAGACCGAACTAGACAATTCGCGATCGATGAAAAGCACGTTGCACGTCGCGTTTGCAAGCTTGCCGAATACACCCGTCAAGATTTCCGTAAACGAACCTATCAAGGAACTGTCCAACAAAGTGTTTTATGCCTCGAACCGACGACGGTGATTCTCCAGGCAACCAATTTCAAGGGTATTCCATTACCGAGTCAATTTAGCCGGAGACGTTTCGCGGATGTCATCGCCGGACGAGATTTTTCTGTGAAATAGAGGGAATCAAACTAGGTTTCGCGCGGATGTCATTGCGGGATATGATTTTTCTGTGAAGCAGCGGAATCAAACTACGTATCTACGAACGGACGTGGAGCTTCAGTCTTGGTCAGGGATTCGCGGATAGTTGGCGTGTTTGATGGTCTTTGAAGGTAATTGGAAAACGCGTAGGTCGGGAATGAAACCTCAGATTGAATGTACAGTAACAACCACTGAATAGCCAGACATAAGGTTTACGAGGGGTATTGAGAAGTTTCTGGTGTGTATAAGGAGACAGAATATGTTTCTTTCGTGCTGTCCCGGTTTATATCTGTCATTAAAGATCTTTAGTGCTCATTCAGCTTTCTACTGCAATCCAATTGTACCTAACAAGTGATCCTGAAAGTTCGGCACGCAGTGTTATACTTTTTCTCGCGACCGATAGATCGGCCAAAGAATTTTGCACTTTCACCGGCAACCGAACGACAAACAACTTTTATACACGGCGCGAATTCGATCGTCACGATGCGAACTGTTCGCGCAGCATTATTTGAAACATGCACGTTTGGTTATCGTTTCAAAGCTTCCATAACACCGTGGTCTACTATTATTGTACAATGATCTGTGGCTAAAAATATTTTAACGTAACGAGACTTGTTAATGAAGATACATGCGTTGATGTTGCAATTCGTCGATTGTTGATCTGAAACTGCTGATCAAAAACTGCTGATTAGTTGTTCTTACAGCATTTACGTTATCAACACTCTGCGTTACGTGAATCATCGACGATTCTGTTCAGATTCTTCGTTTTGTATCGATAACTTGTCGCAACAAGCAGTATTACGTAATAGTCTTTAAAGAGTATGTATCTACAGAGCTTCTCCATCTACATTACACTTCTGGAATATTACAAGACATCTCACAGAAGTTATTGAAATAAATAATTACGTACAACACATTCGTTACGTTCGTAAATCTTTTGTATGACTCGAATTATTTGATTTTGTGACGAACGTATTGGAATTATGGCTTGGATTATTCCTCAAGCGAATATGATATTAATTCTTTTTCTTAAAAGTTTTATTTTTACTTTCATTTGAGAGAAGGTATGTGGACGAAATGACTGAGCGACCAAATTCAACTAAGAGACCGGCGACTGAAAATCGCCTGCTTATACAGGGTGTCCCAAAAATGTCTCGCAATCCGGAAATGGCGGGCTCCTCGGATCATTTGAAGCAGCTTCTTACTTTACAAAAATTTTCCCCGAAGCACCGTTAACGAATTATCAACGAAAAACGGTGACCGATGAAAGGCGAACTCAGCTGGCGCTAGGCGGCCAAACAAAGCCTAACGATCAGATGTTTAATATAATTAATAACGAGACGGAAATTATTAAAAGATAATAATATGTAAAAACTAATAATACAATTCTGTGCGATATATTTGAAAGCACGGATCTATACAAAGGCCAACATCGCAATCTTTGCACTCGTACCGCGAATCCGTTCTTTTATCATTTTTGCTACAAATTACACATCCCCGGGTGGATGCCGCATATATGCGGTGCTCGACGCGAAAGTGTTAATGTGTCGGTAAGTTGAATCCTTGCTCCATTAATAAATTATTACAGCTTCGTATTAATATGTCTTTTGTTTTCCAACGATGACACGTGCTATCGCACAGCGTCATGTGACTTCGCGCGACGTGACATTAACACATTTCTACCTTATCAATCAGCCGGTTCGGCGCATTAGCAAGCAGACGCATCGAAGGGGGCGTATGACGTGATTTACCGTGACTTTTTGTTCGCAGATTCGGAGCAGTCGCCGGCTGTGTACTTGAGAGACGACCCGCTGTTCGGCAGCCTGCAACTGCAACAGCACAGCGAGCTTCGTGCACCGACTGCCGAACGAGCCGCGTTCTATTTAGACGCGGCTGTGGCCGGACGACAGCGGGAGGACGGCGATGCGCACATGCTCTACACCCTTCACGTTTATCAGTACAGTGTCGCCGGCAAGGGCGGAGGTGAGTGGCCCACGTTTTTCCTTTTTCCGAACGACTTCTTCGTAGTCACCGCTCGTAAACCGCGTTTGTCGGCGCCGCTTTGCGCCGTTTTCCGTCACAACGAGATCTCCTCGAAATTCTGCCGAACCGAGTGGTCGCTGTTCGCGGAAAATTGACGCCGCTAACGAGGAGCATCAGCCAACTGTGACAGACACCAGTTTCCCGCAAACTTCTCGTCGAGCCGCGTCGTCCGCGGGAACGTTCCACGCAGATTTTCTTTCACCCTTTGCGAGCCAGCTGATTTTTCACTCGGTTTTCCTGGGAAAAACCGCGCGTCGTTTCTGACTAATTTTTTTTTTCTCTTCTGGAAATTCCGACGTGCTTATCGAAGATCCTACTTCAGCACTGAAATTACCGTCGAAATGAATTTTTCACTGTTCTTGGGTGGTCCACAAAATTGTTCGTTCACCTTTTAAAACGCAATTGCTTCTTTAAAATTGAACGAAATGACTCGAATTTTTTTTTAGATCGGACTAAAATACACCTCTTTTTTTATTTTGCTATTATTTGGTAGGACTGAAAATATAAGAAACTTGCGTGTTTTTAACTTTCTCATCCGAGTCTGAAACGAAAATTTAAAAAATGTGTTCTGTAGATCTCGGCAACTTAATGTTAACTTTATAAATTTGAAAAACGTGAGTTTTTTTGTTCATTCCAAGTAATAGCAAAATAAAAGAAAATAATTTTAGTCATTGTACAGTAAACTAGACCATCTCGTGCGAAAAATGATCGAATAAAACAGTTGCTTAATTACAGTGACAGACTTAATTTCTATCGATTTATACAATAAATCATTTTGCATGTAAGTTGTTGCTTTAAATTCAACCGATTACATGTGTTTGGATGATGGCGAATTTTGACGTTGAATAATCGAGATTCTACTGTATGTGATTTCTGAGTTACGTGGTTCAATATCGCGTCGACCCCAACATTTGCAGGATAGCTTAACATAAATATGGACACTTAAAGAAAATTGTGGCCCAACGTTGCCATATACTCCACTGCTCCGTAAGATTTCCTCAAAATTGGCGTGTCACACGTCGGTAATGTTCCTTGTAAGTGGTCGTTATCTACCAAACCGAAGCGATTCAGGAACTATTGTTTCTGAAGGGGAATCGATAAAATTGATGCCTTGGCTTCTATTTTTATTAGACAATCCTTACTTTGATCTCCGTAGCTCAGTTAGAATGCAGAACTTTTTAAAAGTATTGTTTGTTGTTCGAATGCATTACCGTTTTTAAATAAGTTCTGTATTCTAACTGAGCTACGGAGATCAAAGTAAGGATTGTCAGATAATATATAATATATAAAATAAAACATTTTGTTTAATACTCCTGTCGAGGGCACACTTTTTCTCGCAGCATTCGTCCGTCAAAACTTTTTTGTAGATTACAGAGTGTGCCCCTTTGTGCAATCTTATTAACACATCGTATAAAATATGCATTCGCAAAATCGTATTAAAATATGCATTCATATCATTGTATCAATGGACACCGACGAAATAATAGAATCAAAAAGAGGCCCCTTCTAACATCAACGACATAACTGCTTCAAGTCCTCCAGTATTTTCTGACAAAATCGGTAAAAATGTTCAATGATCCTGTATTAACCCTTTATGGGCCCACGTAACTTTCAAGTCACAAGCTAATATATCCATATTTTATCAAATAGGTTTAGTTTTTTTCACTCGCGCAAAAGATCAATAAGAAATAGTTTCATGAAACCCTTAAAAAAGATCATAAAATTGAGCAAATAGAAACCAACATACCATTAACGAACCGCTGATCAGATGCGATGCAAAGTCCATATCCATCGGCTAAAATCGTCTGTTTTATGAATTATTTAGTCGCCGGTGGCAGAAGTAGACTGCNAAATATGCATTCATATCATTGTATCAATGGACACCGACGAAATAATAGAATCAAAAAGAGGCCCCTTCTAACATCAACGACATAACTGCTTCAAGTCCTCCAGTATTTTCTGACAAAATCGGTAAAAATGTTCAATGATCCTGTATTAACCCTTTATGGGCCCACGTAACTTTCAAGTCACAAGCTAATATATCCATATTTTATCAAATAGGTTTAGTTTTTTTCACTCGCGCAAAAGATCAATAAGAAATAGTTTCATGAAACCCTTAAAAAAGATCATAAAATTGAGCAAATAGAAATCAACATACCATTAACGAACCGCTGATCAGATGCGATGCAAAGTCCATATCCATCGGCTAAAATCGTCTGTTTTATGAATTATTTAGTCGCCGGTGGCAGAAGTAGACTGCACCTGATGGACCTGGGGAATTCGGATCGCGGCAAATCGTCGGGCGGCATCCCTCTGTCAGGCCTCGGGAACATCCTGCTCGCGATCTTCAACGGGCAGAAGCATCTGCCGTACAAGGAGCACAAGCTAACCCAATTACTGAAGGAGTGTCTCGGTTCGTTGACGTGTCACGCCGCGATGATCGCCCACGTCTCCCCCAACGCGCAGCACTACACGGAGACGCTAACCACCGTGCAACTCGCCTCGAGGATCCACCGAATGAGGCGAAGGAAGATCAAGTTTGTCGGCGGCGGGACACAGGGGACGGGAAGCGGCGGAAGTTCGGGCGAAGAGGCGGCGAGGCAGAACAGCGAATGCGACCCGAGCTCCAGCGACCTGTCCGCGGACACGGTGATCTACGTGGGTCCTAGCACCGACGACGCGACCGACGGGGAGCATCCACCCGTCTACCTGCCCAGCTTGAACTCCGGCGACAACCGGTGCGCCATGGGAAAAGCGTTGCGAGGATCAGCGGCGGAGCGACCCTCGAAGATACCCGAAGAGCGCAGCCCGGTGCACAAGGCGACCAAAGCGGTGAAGTCTCTGACGCAGACAGCGTCGAAACAGACGTCCCCGGCGCACACAGCCACGCCGAAGGCCAGCCCGGCCAGGAAATGCGCCGCCGCCAAGGTGTCATCTTCCAAGGTGAACGACTCACCCGGCAGCAAGATTCCAGTCGCAGCTCCGAGCGGAGGCTCCGACGAGCAGTGGATAGACGGGCCTAGGATCTCGAAGTCGAAGGTCGCGGAGGCCAGACACATGCTGAAGGACTCGCACCACAAGAGGGAGACCTGGATAGACGGCCCGATGCAGCTGACCGGGCCGCCTACCCTGCAGATGCACACTCAGCAACATTCCACCGGTTATGGTTTCATGGACAGTCACAAGAAGAGCATGATCAGGAAATGGGTGGAGAACCAGTCGTCCCAGATCCAGAGGAGTAAGCACGCGGCGGCCAGGATCGAGTCGTCGAAGTCGTCCGGCCAGTCGTCGCAGTTCAAGGAGCTGACGACGTTCAAGACGTGCGGCGGCATGGACGACGACAACACCTCGATGTCGACGGCTGAGAGCGACAGCTTGAAGGCGAACGAGATCGAGGACATTACCGAGAAGCTGGGCGTCAAGCTGAACCTGTTGAACGTCAAGTCGAATACGGACTCCGGCCTGGACTTGACGGCTAGCCCGGTCATGGACGACAGCGTGGACAAAGGGAAGCTGGACCTGCAGGAGGACGAAGACGACGACGAGGAGATCGTTGTGCCGCCGCCGTTGCCATTGATAGAGCCGCTCAGCAACGGTGTCAGCAGAGAGGTCTCGATGGAGAGCCTGAATCTCTCGCACAAGGACATCGTGCTGCCGTCCAGACACTCGTTGTCCTCCGAGGACGAGATCTTGGAGATCGTCGAGGTCGAGGATCTGGAGCCGGTGCCGATGCAGGACTCGTGCCTCCAGGTCACCGAGGAAGACATCGCGATGTGCATGGGCGAGAACCCACTGCCTGAAAGCGACCAGGAGGAGCATCCTCTGCGAATACTCAGCCAGGAGAATCTTACCGTGGTCTCGACCTTCACCGGTAAGCCAACCATCGCTTACACTTGTTAAATCCTTTGCGACTTCGAGCCAACGAAGTCCCGATTGCTTATTCCAGTCCTTGGTTCTCGAGGGACTTAATTAAAGGCTGTAACGAGTCGCTATGACTACAGAACGTTCTTACCCGACGTTATTTCGTGACGGTTACGGTGCATCCTCCTACCAGCATGCGATCAATCCGTCGTTCCTCTTCTTCCTATTCCATCCCGAGCGCTCTCGAAGATACCTTCGCAGATTGTTCTCCGGCTCTCCGATCCACCGGATTCTGTAATAGCACAGCCGATGGAAAACAATCGTATCGGAAAAGAATGGAGAGAGAGAGAGAGAGAGCTCGGTATAATTACTCGTTAATACTTTCCGTCTTCGAACTCTCGGAGATAGTAGAAGCTTCTTACAGCTAAATACGCGGCCTCTTGTTCTTCCTTGGCCGTTTCTTTTTTCACCCGGCTCTCGGGCGAAGAAACCATCGAGACGCTGAAAAAGCATGTCAACTTCCAGACTCCATGTCGGTGATGTCGGACACGGAACGGTACAGACCGCAGTATCCACCACCGGTCGGCGCGGGCGTGCTGCCCAGGCCGTACTTCGACCACGAGGATTTCCTCGAGCAGGAGACTAGGCACAAGTTCGACCAGTTGGCGCGACTGCACGAGCTCTATCAGAGCAAGCTCGCGCTGGCCAATGTCTCCAACTCCGTCACCTACCAGAGGGAGAACTCCTCCAACGTTAGAGAAGCTCCATGTAAGTTTGCGCGCGTATAATCGCACTGTGCTATCATCGACGGCGCGGTCGAGATTTTGCTGGCGATCCGAGGAGGACACTATGGGGTCGCCTTCAAGAATAATCGTTAGCTGACGAGCTGCTCGTGGACAGTAAGATTTACGATTATTCCCGGGACACGTCGAAGGATGTCCCAAAATTATGGTACTCCCGGGAAACTAGAGATTACTGAGGCCATTCGAAGCAATTTTTTCCTTTACAAAAATTTTCAGTTTCCGATCGAGAAGATACTGTTCGCTCGCGAGCCTGCATCATCCTGCTCGTAGATGCTGAATCTCTGCTTCGGTCGCAATTTTGTTCGCACAGGTAGTTAATACTCGGAAACTCGCTGGTTCTACGAAACAATTGTTCTAAGAATAGTATGCCGAGGAAGTCGGAGCAATGAAACTAGCATTTGTAACGAACTTGTGATGATACTCGCACAATCAGCAGTTGCAACGAAGCCAGCATGAAGATAAGAAATAATTTTGGGACAGCCTTTTGATTGCTCTTCGAATGATCTGGGACACGATAAAAGCTGATCCATCGCTTCGATCAGACTATTATTGTATGCATTCTTTAATGTTAGATTTGAAATTAGTGAGCACTTTGTAATATAACAAATAATATATTTAACATATCGGTGTATTCGCATACAAGTACAAGATCGTGCGTTTTATCGTGAGGTGGTCGTTCGTGTTTCGAGTTCTAATGTCCTGTCCAGTTCGCAACGTATCACGTTCGTTTTCAGTTCGGTTTTTGTTGCGATTGATCGTGGGTTGGTTCAGTTTATCGACGAATTCGGGTTGTTGTCGGTCTCCAGTTAGCTTGTAGATGTGTCTAAAAATCGCCTAAACTTCGGGAGCGGGGGAACTGTCTTGGAGTGAATATTTGTCTGTTTATCGATCAATTTGAAGTGCGTCGTGGAGAATTAGGTATCCGATGACGCGCGCGTTTTTGGAACAGAGGGTATTAGTTGAACGTAAGTACACAGAATTGGCCACGCTATCGCGGATCCTTCGGCCCTATCACGATCGCTATCCGCAGAATCCGTATCTGCCCCGCCAACTGTACCTCGACCTCGCCGGTAGCACTGAAATTATATAGACAGTCTACCGGGTCGAGATAGGAGCATCGAGCAAATGAATCTACACTGTCAGCCAACCACCGTTGGTCTACAGCAAATATAATATTAACGCAGGACAAATTCCAGCCGCCCCCGTCTTCCGTCCGCCGTCGCGCTGTCAATCGCTGTCCCTCTCGGACGTGATGTTCAACGACAACGCGAGCAATCACGGCAGCATCTACAGCGAGCCGGCGTACATCGCCGGGAAGTCCGATCAGGAGAAAATCTGCGATAACTGTCGCCAGAGCATGTCCAGGCCGGCCACCGCCTCCTATTGGTACCCGAACAGCGTGGCGCACATAGCCAGCCCCAGAAGGTACTGCGGCAAGCTCGGTGAATGCAACATCTCTAGTCTGAGGCACCCCGACGGCGCCTCGAATCCTAATCTCAAAGAGGAAGTCGAGAGGCTACCGGGAAACGGAGCCTCGGGTTCCGATCCGGAGGAGGAGTACGTCGAGGCGAAGAAGTTGTTCACTGCGGCTGAGAGATCGGAGAGAACTGTCACTGGGAAGTCGGACATTGAAGAGGATCTCAAGATACAAGGTAGATTACGCTAATTATTAACACGTTCGCCGCCGCCGCCGCGGTACACGGCGCCTCGCCATTCAATTAGGACCACTTAACGCTTTTAATCCTCCCGACGTTTGTGCCGAGTTTCATGCTGTATCGCGAGATATTTCAGTTGCCATCATTTTCACCTTTCTTCCGCGCTCTTTTTACGCTCCCTTGGTCATCTATTCGTCACCCAACTTCCCACTCTTCTTTTTTCCTTCTCTGACTTTATCGTTTTTCGTTCTGTTTTCCATCTTTTGCGTTCGGAATACATTCTGTGATTTTTTGATGTTGACGTGCTCTTCAGTTTCTCTTTATACATACTTTTTTTATTGGATTTCAAGTATTTGTGGAAAAGCTGTTTTACATTTTCCTTCGTAGTCAGAGATTTTGATATTTAACCTTGATACAGGTGTTCTTCAAATAGGAGAACGAACTTGAGAAACAGGACACACTCTTGCGATTGCTTTCTAATAAAAGTGGCACCTTCTTCCAAAAAGTTGGCCACAATACAATTTTTAATGTATCAAGCTAGAGTTTAGCCTCGAAGAAGCCATTTGTAGGACATTTGCCATTAAGATACACTTACTGACAAGAGTTAAGAAACAACGTAATCGTTTGATACATTTCGGTATATTCTCTATCTTCAAAAAGATACATAGATTGGAACTAAAAATAGCATAATGAGATAGCATCCCATACATCAATGATCAATGAGTTTTTTCTCAAACGTACTTGTACGAGAACCATAATTAAATTAAATTTATATGTTATAAAGACTATCTATTTTCTAAAGTCTATTTCAAGATTGAAGTATCAAGTAACGTAAAAAAATAATAAAATTTTGTGTAATTATATCCAAATATAAAAAATGTTACCAATCAAATAAAATTTTTACTAAAATTAATGTCAGTCAGAATGTGTCGAAGTTTAAACACGGTAATATCAATTAAAAAATTTGTTATCGTGAAAATAAATTATAGTAGAAATTTATAATTTAATTAAAAATTATTTTTTTTATAAATTTTTCATAGATTAGATATAATTTTTAATATCTCGATATTCGCAAAGAAATCAGTTAAAAACAACGCTCGTGTAAGTGGTATCTGATTTGATTTTTTATATTTTTGAGAGCGTATTCGAATTCAGCAACTTCCAAAACATGAGTAACGATCGTTCATGAAAATTGTACGAAGTTATGAATTGTGACCAACTTTTGGAACCACTGTTCGCAGTTGTGCCTCTTGAGCTCCGAGAGACCGCACGTCCGTGGTTTCGGATGAAACTTACGCACTTGTCTAGAGTAGTAGTAGTAGTAGAGTCTAAGAAATAAGTTCGAAAGTTATGGAGGACTCTCGTTTGAAACGGAACTTCTGTCCCGCAGCAACAGCTCCGCTGCAGTTGTCGATTCCATCGCCGGCTCCGTCTTCGGGTCGAATGCAACGCAAGATCACCAGCATGGGTTCTTCGTTAGGTTTGAATAAGGAGGGCTACGATTCCGGTGCCGATTCCACGCCTCGAGCAGCGAAACTATCGCCAGCCACGTTATCCAGGCACCGCGCCGAAAGTTCTGGCTACGACAGCATTGTCAGGGACAGCGAGACCAGCAGCATCGCCAGCGATTCCTCCAGGCAAACCAGCGCTCTTCAGGAACACCAAGGTAGTGGATATTTGTCCGTGGATCTCTCGACACGTTTTCTACTATCGGTCGAAGTTTCAACGACCTCTTACATTCGAGGGAACACTGTCCAATCAGTTTGTCTCATTCCCTTGCTTTATTCGGCTTGAACGCTAATTCGTAAATTGTTCTTCGCTATCATCCCGAATTTTAAAAATCATTAAGAATGAGTAAAATTTGTAGCTTTAATTTTGCCTGTTTTAACCCTCTACAAAATTTATATAATTCGAAGGTAGCGAATATCACACACACACACACACACACACACACACACACACACAATCTCGAGGTGTAAATTGATGACGAATTCATGATTTAAAAAAGAATTGAATTTACTCTGATATGCAAGATATTTTTATCACATAAATATTAAATTAAATGTTTAAATAACTGGTAAGTCTGAACGTGGCTTCATAGTTACATCGAGTTGTAGACTGTTGTAACTGAGAGCCACTGAAAATTAGCCACATTTTCTTTAAGATTCAATTTCTCAGAAATTCAAGGCGATATCGAAACATTTAAGAATCGTCTATCGGCCATTGAAACACAAAATTAGGGTTGGTCGGTGTCGTCGATTAAATACACGTTCGATCGACCGATCGCAAAAATGGCAGAAAATACAGCGAGATTATTTCCAATGCGAAACACGAACGCGATCTTTTTGCATGTTTTAATCGCATGCACTTTCAATCCTCCCCCCCCCCCCCCCCCCCCCCCCCCCCCCCCCCCACCCCACCCCACACTATACGCCGCGACGCGACGCGACCGACGAGCGTTTGGTTTGGNACGCAATTATTAACACCGTTGCTGATGCATGTCATTGATACAGCTTTTGAATTATCGCCGCGTTTCACCGAGCACGCTCCATCGCAGTGAACGCTTCCACTCAAATAGCAAGCTACATTTTAATTAACGAAGTAATGAGGAAAACCGTGTCAGCCGTGATTAACAAGTCACGGCGGTTAGCGAGCGACGGAAGGAACGAAACTTTGAATAAGGATATATTTCCAATGGTTGACCGACTGCGATGAAAGAAACAATGAGATTAACTTTTCTTCCCGATTAACGCATGCCTGATCGTACGCGAGCATCATCCAAGTATCGACCTCCAATCATGGTATCATGGCATGTTACAATGACAAATGGAGAAGCGATTAATCCTTTGCACTCGAAGCCAAATTAACGCAAAATTTAATATAGTTCTTCTGACCCATTGTATTTCCATTTTATTTAACCTAATGCATTTTATACATTGAAATTGAATTTTGTGATTGATGCAACAGTTATCTTTTCTATAGTTCTTCAAATATGAACAAACTTGATTAATAAAATTATTTTGAAACGTGACGTAACAATTTTTAATGGCGTCTTGGTGTCGCCATTCGAATAGAAAGGGTTAATACTTACAGGGGATATATCGTTCCAATCAGAAAATTGTAGAATGAAAATGAGTAATTAGAGAAGACAGCGGTTTTTATATATTTGTGACAGAAATAATAAGTAGGCACAGTCTAAAACAGTGAAAATATTAAAGGGAACAGAATGTTCATGTATCGATTCAAACAAATTAAAACTATTAAAGAAAGAAAAATATATTCGTATATATTATTTTCAACTTATCGCAATCATTAAAGAAAGAAAAACATTTTCATTGCAGCTGTGCTCGTTACAATTAACTCAGACAATTTTTAAATAAAGATCAAGTTAAGTAAGGACGCATAAAAATCTGTAGTCTAATGGCGATGTTTGGATGATGACATTATTATAACTTATCGCAATTATTAAAGAAAGAAAGACATTTTCATTGCAGCTGTGCTCGTTACAATTAACTCGGACAATTTTTAAATAAAGATCAAGTTAAATAAGAACGCATAAAAATCCGTAGTCTAATGATGATGTTTGGATAATGACGGTATTTCGACGACGTTGTCCGCGAACGTGGACAAAGTCTTAGCAGTAAGGGTCCCTCTAGCGACGACGACGAAGTAGCTCGCTCACACCCCCGTGAGACCGATGTGCAAACCCTCTAAAATGGTCCCCCCGTACGATGGTTCTCCTCAGGTGGCGCGCTGGGGGTTCTAACCTCGACGTTGTGCGGGTGTTTCAGCGGTGGAACAGCGGGCGGCAGAGTGCGGGCTCCGGTCACAGGCCCAGTGCCGGGCCCATCTGCCAAGGGCGCCGTCCGCGGTGCCGGGGATACTCGCGTACACAAGCGAGGACGTGGACATCCTGGACAGGCGCGCGCAGTTGCGCTCGGATCCACGTGGCACGATGTCCAGGATACACAACCTGCGACTACGCCAGCGCCTTCTTAGGCTCGAGCTCCGCGACGCTAAGAAGCGTCTGATGGTGCCCGACGACCGCTGGAGCTACGATCGTAAGTGTCCTCCGCAACAATGCCGTAGAATCTTCCGAATTCTAAGGGTACGTTCACGTTGGAACGACGATAAATTTTGGAAGAGCTTCGATCGCAACGGCGACGAAAGCCGGAGACTTTCTGCCTTGAATTTGTTTGCAATCGAGCTGGGCTAATTTGCCGATTTCTGTCGTTAACCCCTTGCCGTATTTTGACAGAGTCTCACTCGTCATGAGAATTTCAAGTAACAACTTATCCGAGCGTAAGTGTTATTCTGTTCATTAAAATTGGAATAAAATTCTAATCCCTTGTCATCGATATTTAAGCATTTTAGTAAATTTAGGCACACAATAAGCATCAATTTTCTTTCCCTTTTAAGGGATTATTGCAATCGGACAATTTCTGATCGCAGTAATTGCGAAGAAAATGGTACGTCAAGAGGTTGAAGGGTTCTCAAAGATCCGCGATTATTCTGGAGATCGTTACAGAGCCCAACAACAGTTTCTGTAGATCGTGCGAAGATTTAGCAAGAATCCGGAAATCATTTTTATACGTCATACACAGTTTTTCAGAAATTTGAAGGAAAGACACATATTTATCGTTGGAAATATTTGTTGTTCCCGCTGCAAAAACTCTGGAAACTCTGAAGGCATTTTTAAGTACAACTTGAAAGTACTAAATATTTTTTTCTTTTTAAACGTTATCGATATTTAAGCGTGATTAGACAATGCTCGAGGATAACAAAGACGCTGTTAATGTAGCAATTAAATCGGACATTCTGCAATTTATTTTAAAAATGAAGAGTTTTTGGGAAAGATCTAATCACGTCGTACGATAAAACGCAACGATCACTCAAACACCAATCACCAATTTCGACGAATTACTAGTATATTTATAGTTTAGTCAAAGATATTGAAAATTAAAAAAGTCCCAACTCGAAGCGAGAGATCGAAAAGCCTTTCGATGAAAAAGAGATAATAGATACAACCGACGTACGCGTTCTAAAACTGAGCATTAGCCATAAATCCATGTCGCAAGGATAAATAATAACGTGTACCGACGTGAATGTTGCAGTTCACGTGGAGAACGGGATGGACTGGCGACATCCGTCATTCGTGGAGGCGCTGGCGGCGGAGACGTGCATCCTGCAGAAGCGCGTGGAAGCGTGCAAGAGCCACGTGCTGCTGGTCACCTGCTTCGACTCCTGTCCCCGGCAACAGTGTACCCGGCAGGCGGAATCGCCGTCTGGAATTCGGATCACATAACCAAGACTTAGATCAGCGCGCAGCACCGCGTGCTGATCGTCCGCAGGAAACGAGTCGCCCGGAACACGGATTAGAAACGAGACGAGCGAGGTCGCCGATTTATGGGGCGGACGGGGGAACGGAACGACGTCGCTCGACTCCGTCCAATAGTTGTTAAAATGACATAGTTATATCGTCGTGATCGTCGTCGTACGTCGTCGCTATTGTTACACGTGTAATCGATAATAAGAGAAAGCTTTCGTCATCTTCTCCGGCGGAAACGCGCGTCGTTCGCGCGCGCCGCGGCTCGCGCCGCATTCTTGAGACATCGTTTTCGCGGGAGTCGCGATCGTTTCCGGTCGAAGATGTTACGCGACGCTTACGATTGTTGGCTGAATAGCGTAGCGCGCGGCCCGGCCTAGCGCGTCGGACACTTGTTGACTTAAATAATTTAGCGTACGAGATGGTGCTGCATTTTTTATACCGATCGCCAGAGCCGCAGTTTAGGTAAAAATTGATCGACGCCGAGATCCGGCGAACGAAGACTGCCGATCGGAGCCGCGGAAACGGCGGCGTACTTAGGGGAATATAGTCCGCTGTGTTGGAACCGGATGACCAGCGTCGAGAGAGAGAGAGAGAGAGAGAGAGAGAGAGAGAGAAAGAGAGAGAAAAAAGTGGCGTACCGATGTGCCGTACACGAGGAGGAGCGATCATGTAGGAAAATAATAATTGCGTACAATCAGACACGTCTGTCTTCGAATCGATGACCCTTCTTCGATCGCCGGGGCCCTTGATCCGGCTATCACCGAACGAAATCGAACGGGGCGGGGTCAGTGCCCGTCGAACATCGATGACAGCGAGATGCGTCGAACCAACGTAGCCGAATAAAGAGACACATAGAGAGAATACGTAGCACGAAGACACACACGTACACGCTCAGTCACGATCCAGAGGTGACAGACTGCCAAACAGATCGGGGGTGAGAGAGGGAGGGGGAGACAGAGAGCGAGAGAGACAGAGAGAAAGAGGAGAGTCTAGGATGAAGAGAAGTAGGGATGGAGCGAGAGTTGACGAGATAACGCGTCATAATCATTGTATTTAATGCACGCACATTCATTCAAGATATTATCGTAGCTTTAATCGTTATCAGCAGTAACCGCACTTCGTAGGGCTCTGTAATTCACTTAGAGAGTGGCGAGGACTGATGGGAATGCGAACGTGCGTGAGTGAGCGGAACAGAGAGAAAGAGTGCGAGTGTGAGAGAAATAGAGAGAGAGAGAGAGAGAGAGAGAGAGAGAGAGAGAGGAAATATTCGAGTACCAAGAGCAGCGAGTGTGGCTGATCAGGCGTAGAGTGTTACTTTTCGATAGTAATCGTATTCGTAATTTGTAAATGGTTCGTGTTCGGTGCGCGAGAGAGCTCTCTGGTTAAATGTAGGACGCTGATGCTGCCATGGCGGAAGGGAGAGAAAGGGAACGAGCGTGTGAGACAGGCAAAGAGAAAGGGGGAAAGAGAGTTTCGTGCGTGTACACGGATCCGAAACGTCAGAATCACGAATCGGGAGAACGCGCGTGGGTGTGGAGTGGGAGAGAGGAGCCGGAGAGTGTGAAAATAGACGGGATGAAAATAAATCGGGAATGGCGGTAATGCGCGGCAGAAATAGAGAGATTCCAGCGTGCTGATACGCTCGCTGGCGAGCCGGGCTATCGACGAAAATCGCCTTCTCGTTCGAACGGTGACCGTCGCGACCATTTTGCCCGGTCCTGCGACCTTTGTCGGCGCCTCGAACCGCGCGGTCTTGGCTCGTCGTCTTCGCACTGCCAATTTACGAGCTTAATCCCCTTTTTATACTGATCCGAGATGCCTGTGAACTTCGGACGTCGGTCCGCAAAGCGAAAGTCTCGAGAACTCTTGCTCGATTCTCGAGGACCATGATCGAAACTCAGACTGACCACGCCGGCGGGCCAAGACCGCGCGACTCGCGGCCGGTTTCCGGAGGCAGATCGCCGGTCCCTACTGCTCCAGAGAACCGATCTCGAAGCTACCGAAACCAACGATGTAAGCCGAGTGTCTTTGTCCGTCGTTAAAGGAACCTGTACGCTATTCGTCCGTACGATTAGACTGTTCTTGACCCGTCACTGCCAACACGCCACTGTACCTTCACCCCATGAACGATCGCCCTTAAGGGATGCTCGCGGTCCTTCGATTTTCTCGGTTGATTTCGGACCGATCTCCTTCCGATCGAGCCTAGTTTGTCGCTAGGATTTTCGTCGAACGACACGTTCTCGAAGCTTCATGAAATTTGAACAGCCTCGAGAAACGATCCGAAGAAGTTCTGCAAATATTTTCGCAAGAACTTGGAGAAGTATGCTCCTCGGGAAACTGTAGAATATTGACACCCGCTCGTTGAAAAAGAAAAGAGAATTTTGTGACTAAAGAAGAATCTTCTTTCGGTAAAATCGGCGAAGCGTGAATTCATTTCAACGGAAATGTTCGACTTTCAGAAATCGGTTGACAGAAGCGTGAATTCGTGCGAGATTCCGCAGTTCACCTGCGACGGCGACCGCTTCCTAGAGACACGTTCTTCCAGTTGCCCGAAGGACAATGCGAAACGGAACGAGCCAGCATCCGAACCGATTTGTCCCGTACCGTTTCCGGTTCCTCGACTTCACCGATCCTTGCCCTTTTACCCCAAGGTTTTTCGCTTCCGTTCGAGTTCGAAGCGTCGCCGCGAGTGCGGCACTCCGTCGAACCGTGGATACAAATTAGTAGCGATTTAAACGAGTACTAGCGCCATAGTTGATTAACGATTAAGGAATAACCGATCCCGCTGAACGGAGAGCGTGGCACGGACCACACGATCGCGTGCTCGCACACAACAGAACAAGAAGACACGATGTACCACACACAAGCGTCTACTGTATCATAGTACTTGTACTATATTTATATTTTATATGTACAAATTAGTCATGTAATTTCTTGTAATAAAGATCAATTTACAACGTGAAGTTCGGCGCCAGCCGTGTTGTCCTGTCCGTTCCCGACCGTGGCATTCCTTGTCTTGGTTCCCGAGTTGTCGCGGCAAAAAGCGGCGGGAGAGGGTCTGGATTCCTCGGAAGAATTCCTGAGACAATTTATTGGGACGTTCTAGGCACCGCCAGACAGTGTTAGCGACCGATGCGGATCGCGTCTCGGTGGTCTCTCGCAGGGTCCAAACTGGACACAGAAATTAGGTCTGGGAACAGCTCTGACGCACGGGGGTTCGCGGCAGAAAAATATTAAAGATACAAAGAATTTTGAAACTTGTGGAAAAACCAATTACCTTTTCGCAACGTAATCGTGAAAGTTGAAGTCAAAAAGCTTCAAATGATTCTATTGAAACAGAGTTATGAAAAACCCGTTTCGGATGCGACTTCTATTTTCGACGTTGACTCACGCTTTCATTTAGTAAGAAAATAAATTTTAAAACAAAGCAACACTGTTTTTCGTGTAGACATTTTGAACGTACCTATTCCAAGTTCTCGATTACTGTTGAAAAGGACTTCGTATTCTAGAATTTTGCAATACTGGCAGTATTAACCCTTTGCACGCGACTGGTGCCTCAGAGACGCCACAAAAATTGTTACATCATGTTCCAAGATAATATTTAGATTCTCAAAGTTTAGATATAAAAATTGTTAAAAGTCTAATAGCTGTATGAGTCACAAGACTCAATTTCATATGCATAAAATGTATTTTGTCACATAAAATGGAAATACGATAAGTTAGAAAAATTCATTTAGATTTACAGTTAAAATGGCTTCGAGTGCGAAGTGCTGAATAAACGCTTAGAGAAACTTCGCTGTTTCAACGAAATGTTAATTAATTAACACCATGGTTGATCTTGTGCGGTGAATAACCCGCACACTCTGAAGCAGCAGCCTTACTGTTGAAACTTCTGATAGAAATGAACGATAATTAGAACAAACATTCCTGCGCGAACCTTTATCTTCCTGAACTTAGCGTTCTTGTCGCCCGTGGTCCTATCTCACAAAAGAAAAGAGCAACGCGAAAGCAGCTCCAGACGCGCGCAAATTGCGAGGAATAAATTGTCGACATTGAATGAAGGAGTGGAGGTAAGGACGTGGGTGTAATTAGACGCAAACAACGATGCGCGCTAACGACGCGGCGGAGGAACAATGAGTATCATGGATGCTTGAGTCTTCTAGTGTTTCGTGTCTCACCGCGCATCATCGTACTTGTGTCTGTTTAGGAAACACGCGATGTGTAGTTTTGGAAGCTCGAAAACTGTGTTGGTTATTTAACCAGCGTTGCCTAAAATTCCAAACACAATTTTGAAGAGAATGCCGTATTCAGAGTTACAAAATAAAGTCCTGAATCTTGATAGATTCAGTGTACCGAAGGCTAGGATCAGCAAATGGAGGAAAGTCGTTAAAAGTACTCGATATCGCGCATCTTATTTCAATGTTTCTTTCAATAAATAAATCGACGCCGAAACGTCGACATTCGGACACAAAGTGGTGTAGATAATTATATACTCGGAGTAACTATCACATTTTCAGTAATATTTGAACAAAAACTTAACAAAACACCATACTTGTATATTTCTATGTTAGAAACAATAAAAGATAGAAATATACGGATACAGTATTTTGTTACACTTTCGTTTAGATGTCATTAACAAAGTAAAAGTTACTTGGGCTCTGTAATTATGCGCATCGCCGTAGTTCTACCTCTGCATTCGTTACTTTGTCTACGAAAGGATAATTGAAATATCACGCTGCTAGTTTTATGGAAACATGAAGCATTCTCTGTCGTTTACGAATATGTAAATTGTTGCCAACGGTTATTTTTAATTAGACGATAGACTTTAAACGTGTTACCGTCGCGTTTACATATCAATGATTTACGCTCATTCCGTAGAAGATACGCGTATTAAAGCGTAAAATAGAATCTACGCGCTCTCGGAGCCAGCCACGAAATCAGTTCTCATTGAATTAGGGGCTTAAAGCTCCGCGGACCAATGATCGTCGGATGTTTAAGATCGTTCGATGTGGGTACCAGCCGCGCAATGGGCTGACCTTGAAGTCCAATTGCACCGGTTGCCGATAAAATCCGATTATTTCACTCCGCGGTTGGCATTACGGTGGCCTTGGCATTAGAATGGATCGAAGGTGCAATTGAGTCAATCGACTCTCGTCGCCGGCTCGTTTGTATTACGCATTACGCATTACAGATAACAGATAACTCCACGCGGACTAAAAACAGTCGTCGCGCAGCTATTGACAAGTATATTACATTTTACTCTAATACCGTTACGCAAACGTACATTAGATTATGCAATTGTTTGCTGTAACTTCTACTTTCGTTTGACATTAGACCGTCGTTATCTTAGCGCGATCACACCGAAATAGAATATACGGATAATAGAAAATTATGAAAGTGATTTCATAGATCCGTGGTACCGAATACCTTTTTTTCTCAGCAACATAATGCTTGCAGAATTTGGCAAACACGAGTCGACGGGGCTGCTGTTGCTGCGTCTAAACAATTTGACTCAACCGTACATTTGTAATGCTTCTTTTCTTCTAAAGATCTACTTCATCCAGGGATTATTGTAAAATTGAAGAGAAAATGAAGGAGACCGGGCTCAATTTTTCGTCAGGAATTATGGGAAGAGAGAAGAAAGCCTACGGCAACGCACGACGAAAAACGCTTCGAATAGATAAATAGATTGCGGATCTTTACGCAAAATAAAAACGTCGCGCATCACTTTCATGAAGCAGGCGTCACTGAGAAATCTCGTTTAATAATTTCAATAAGTTAAAAGTACGTATCGATATTCTTCGATCATTTGAATTCACCTCGCGTTCGAAATCGCGCCCAATCGATCCATGTATTGGTGAACGCGTAAGATCCGCAGTGTAGTTACAAGCTACGGCATAAATTTCTCTCATTTAGCTCGTCAAATTCTCAATTACCCAAATACAATATTGTCTCTCTAATCGACGCTCGGATTGTCCACAAAAATGGACAATTTGGGAAGAGGAGCCTTGCGAATTCGAGCCTTGCGACTTGTTTCTATACTTACCGATTGTCAACGATTACAAAATCATGGTGCGAAGCCGGAATAATCGTATCTCCATTTTCGTGCACAATCTGAGCGTCGATTAGGAAGACATTACCGTACATCGGACCGGTACGATATCGTCCGAAAATCGTGAAACGACAGTCCAATGAAACGAAACGAATTTACCGAGATCAAACCCGTAGGTTCCGCATAGATTGCCTCGCAACCCCATAAATTATTCCCGGCATAAACCGGCGCCCATTCGGACCCGAGGAGGTTACCCTTCGTAACCCAGCGGCTCGGAAGATCAACAAACACGACTGACGGGAACCGGGCGGTCGTTGATGGGACCAAACCCCGTTACCGGAAGGAAAAATAAATGTTAGCGAGTGCCGCGAGAGAGTGAATCTCGAAGCGCGAGTGCTCGCGTGTGCTGTGGTGTGTGCCCTCGCGAGGAACCGACGATGATCCGAGGCGGGTCCAGGGTGGGGGTCTCTCGCGGCTCGAAATTATCGGCGGCACGGGAGAGAGCAGAGAGAAGAAGAGCGTTTCACGCGCTGGAAAGAAGAGGGACCGAGAGGACGAACGGGCGAAGGCGATTAGGGGGCGGCGAGAGAAGACTCGTCGTGTTCGTGACTCGTGCTGCCGATCGACAGTAGCGTGAAGGCAGTCCGAGAGAATGACTCGTCGCGCGCGTTCCAGCGTCTTGCGGCTGGTGGCCGTCGTGGCCCTGCTCGCGCCCTTCGCCGCGGCCATCTCCAAGAACGATTTATACCCTTACGGGACCCCCGGGTCCTCGAACCTCCAGACGGACGCAAACGGGATGCTGCTGTCCGCCGAGACCGCCCTGAAGACGCCCATCGCATTCTACGATAAGACCTACAGCAGTATATTCGTGAGTACCTCGATGTCCTCTTGACTTCAACCCTCCCGAAGGTTGCTGCCAGCTTTGAACCCTTCCTTCCGACTCTCTCGAAAAGGTTCACAAGTCCCAAAATAGTACGAATTACACGAATGTACACGGTTTAATTATTTGTGTACGCGGGGGTATCATTTTTCCCAGAAATTATGCATTGCGTCTTGAGGCTTCAACCCGTCTGTAGGTAGATGACGTCGTGCGTTAATTTTTTTCTAATTTTGTCCATATCGCTTGACAAATTTCACGGGTATAGAATAGACAGTAGTATGGTCAGAACATCGTTTAATTATCTGTGAAACAACAGGTCTTACGTGTCTCAGAAATCGTGTATTCCGTCTTGAGGTTCCAACCCTTCTGTAGGCAGCTGACATCGAGCGTCCATCTTTCGTAAGCCTTGTCCGTCTCGTTTGTAAAACTTGACACAGTTTCCACGGGCACTGTAGAATAAACAGTGTGGTCTGTATATGGTTTAATTATTTCTGGACCAAGATGTTCTCAGTTTCCTCGAGACATTACGTATGCGGTTACCGTCTTCGAGACTGATATAGAGGAATCGGTAAACGGATATACGTCCTTCCTGTTTGTTTAGCTTGTCTAGCATGTGTTCCGTGTGTTTCATGCGATTTCCTGTTCAAATCGAGGTAAATAGTAAGGTAGTAGACTTCCATTCACAGTCACGACTAGACTATTAACATTCATGCGGTGCATATTCATAGACCAATTGCAGGAAGAACGAATCAAACTGCGGTTTATATGTTATAATATTATTATATAATATATTATTATATAATATATTATTATATAATATATTATTATATAATATATTATTATATAATATATTATTATATAATATATTATTATATAATATATTATTATATAATATATTATTATATAATATATTATTATATAATATATTATTATATAATATATTATTATATAATATATTATTATATAATATATTATTATATAATATATTATTATATAATATATTATTATATAATATATTATTATATAATATATTATTATATAATATATTATTATATAATATATTATTATATAATATATTATTATATAATATATTATTATATAATATATTATTATATAATATATTATTATATAATATATTATTATATAATATATTATTATATAATATATTATTATATAATATATTATTATATAATATATTATTATATAATATATTATTATATAATATATTATTATATAATATATTATTATATAATATATTATTATATAATATATTATTATATAATATATTATTATATAATATATTATTATATAATATATTATTATATAATATATTATTATATAATATATTATTATATAATATATTATTATATAATATATTATTATATAATATATTATTATATTACTATATAATATATAAAAATGGCGCTTATCGATGTCGATCTGCAGTCTATTCATGACTGATAGAATTCATAGAGCGCAGCAACTATCGTAGAAGGCGAGTAGGAATACAGTGAAAAAGGGATGAAAAGCTAGTATGCAGCTAACGATAGCTGAATAATACCTAAACAATGGTTACAGCAGAAACGTAGCATAGGTCGATTTTTCCAAAAAATGTACGATAGCAGCACGTTTTTCAGGATACAGAGAAACATATTGAAGTTCATAATGGTCCACGTAAGTTCTGGTATCAAATACTTGCTATCACGCGGTTCGCCGCGTCTATTTCGAGCCGCGATAGAAAGCCTCGCGATTCCGCTGAAAAATTTTTATTTTTATCCGTCGCGGTCAGGAATTTCCATCGGGCAGCGTTGGCCAGTCGCATTCGGTCCTGTTTTAAATTTGGTGCTCACAAAAATACACGGGACGGGACGGGATGGGCGGGATGTCGCGGGATGGGCCGCATTTGAAAAGTCGCCGCGTCGCGGTTAGGCGCGCGCGAAACTGTGTAAACACCGGACCGCGCGTGCCGCTGTTTACACGTCGTGGGGAAAGAGGCCGATCTTTCGCCAGCTGGAAGAGGCGTTTACTTAACGTTTTAAATTAGGACAATGCTAGGAAGGTGCTCGAGTCTCCTTCACGAGTGCACCGTAAAGTTGCGCCACTAAAACTACCCCATCTTGTCCGATGCTTCGAGGGCTTCCTTGCAATGAGACTTCGAGACGTACACTCGTATTTTACTGTCGTACCTATGTCGTTACTTTTTATTGTGTTCTTTTGTTTATATTTTGTGTTATTTTATCGTATTAATTGTATCTTGTATACTGGGTTGCTTTTGACTCGAATGGACTCAAATGGAAAAGAATTAAAGTCTCTCGGTCTTGTCTTTTCCGTATTTGTTACTTTCATACTTTGCAAACATCGCGAGGTTGTAATTTTGATATTCGTCGTTCTCGTTGGAACATTGTTAACACTAGAACTACCAAACCAGTCAACATGGCTGCTTTCTGATTTTCTCTTTCACAGTCTTCGATATTTCTATGCGACATTTTTGGATAAACTTCGTTATTCGAGCACGCGTTATAATTTAAATTCTGTGAAGTTTAAATATTTTTATTTTGTCATTATTATAAAGCAATACATATTGGTCGCGTTTAGGACTCGGTAGCGCACTCTGGTTTCGATCGTGAGAAACAGGAGTCGTATAGGAGTTTTCATGATCTATGATAATACATTCGTACATTGTTATACAAAAAGAAAACGCTTCAAACGCTTTAAGTGTTTCAAATTTATGACTTTAGCTGCGGTCTTGGCTGATTTCTTGATTGTTTTCAAGGTCCGTGATACCAAGATCTATCAGAACGATGTACACACAGATGCAACGTAGATCCTTATTCGAGGTTTCCATTCAATTCTCGATATAAACGTGTGTGTTTCCATTATATTCTTAATATAAACACACGCGAGTGTTTCCATTCAATTCTCAATATAAACGCGCGTGTTTCCATTATATTCTTAACACTTAGCCAACCGAACGGGGAGATCTCCCCGTTTTTAATTCAGTCGGTTGACGACCGTATGGATGATTAATGAAAAATTAAAAATGATTGCTTAATTTTATTCAGATTTGCAAGAGGTACGAAAGCTGAAGAAGCAATCGATGCCAATTTTTGTTTAATCGAATAAAATATTTTAATTTTATGAAAATTATTGAGCTTTCTAGCGCGGTCGTGGAAGTGTTAATATAATACACACGCGAGTGTTTACATTCAATTCTCAACATAAACTCAATAAACAAACTCGTACAAACGTATTAACACATTCGCTACCAGCGTCGCACAGTATAATAACAAGATAGTCCATAGCATTCGTTTGTCGAATTGCTTTAATATCGTTGCGAATCACTCCGTTTCCCTCGCGTCGCGGCATTTTGTTTACAATAAAGAATATAAACTATAATACAGAGAGCTCGATACAATTATATTTCAGATCTTTCGATTTGAAATGTTGCTCGTTCGACGGTCCGATCTCGACTCCTCGATCGTCTATTGGCAACACTCGTCCGTAGCAACCCCTATCTCCAATTATTTCTTAGAGAATTGCTCGCAACAGGGCAGTTTTACGGCGACTTGATTTGGACAAGTCGTCGTAACAATATTTTACAAACGAGTCAAACGAAGCGTTTTAACAACGACGAAGGACAGCGAAAATGTTGTGCGCCAACGAACGAACCGTCTCGAAGCGCGACAAGAAACAAGCACTCGGCGCGTCCTGTCTTCTTCCAAGACACGTTTCGAAGAAAATGATGCGCAGACATCACGCGATTCGCGAGTCATGCGAATGCGATCATGTGTCCGATGATTCGCGAAACGTCCGCGGTTTCGAGCCACGTAAAACCGATTGGAGCACCGCGGAAGGGAGCGGGGCCGGGGGAGCGGCAACGTTGGCGTGGCTCCGTAACATCTTCGTTAATATTAATTCGCGCGGAGCGAGGAAAAGCCGGGGGACATTCGGTCATCCCCTTAATTCGGCTCGCGTCTAATCTGCCGTCATCTTCTGGCATGACACGAATTCATTGTCTGCGATGACGGTCAAACGGCCGCAGCCGGCGCGCAATCGCTTAATTGCGCTTGGGTCGTCGCACGAGCTGTTTCTCATGCTGTCTCGTCGCGCGGACGAGACGGGTCGTGCCGGGCCCGGTCGGGTCGGGCCGGGCCGTGCCGTGCCGGGACGCGTGCAACTCTCGACGCGGAGGAGGAAACGGCGAGAAACGTGTCGCGATTCGCGGAAAGTCCGAGCGACGGAACGCTCGCCGGCGTGGACCGTGGAAAATCTCGAGGCAGATAAGATTTTCTCGGAGATTACCGTCGGCTTCGGCGTAGTTTCTCTTTTCGGGAGAAACGTGTCATATCGTCGACGATTTACTGCGAAACGGATCGAGTCATCGCAAACATTGACAGAGACCGGCCGCGTCCTGCGGGACACGCGGTGATCTCACTCGGTTCCACGAACCGATTCACAGGCCAGCCAGCGTGAATGAAAGCTGATCGCGCGTCGTCCCGTCTTTCCGTATCCGAGGGATCTTCGGGCTAATTAATCGGACCGTGCCAAGGTGCATGATCTCATGCCGGCGAACGTCACGTTTCCATTACGAGCACCGCGCGCAGGAGAAAAAGAAAAAGGACGCGCATCGCGGAAAGCACGCGACGAGGCCGAGTTAATTACACGTCGACGTTTAACTCTTTAACGAAATATTCTTCGTTAACCCGATGAACGTGAACTCGCAACCGTGAGGACGTGCGATAATTCACTTTGGTCGACCTATTGCCGGTCGCGCTACTTAGCTGCGGTTTTTCTCCTCGCGAGGAGGACGTCCTCCGCAGCACGAGTAAAATCAATCGAAAAATTCGGTTCTTTTTCTAGTTTCATGTTTGTGGACGGAGCACTCGGATTTTAAACCTCTTTCATTCCAATACATTGGGTACGTAAAAAATCCTATCCGGTTTCCTTAGAAAGATTGGCTTCATAAGTTCGTGCGGTTTTAATTTCGA